TTAGCTCATCCTCAACTACTGTCAGTAATGTTCTCAGTACAGGTTAGTGTAGAAGTAACTCACTTCTGACATGCATGGGCATTTTAACTTTTTCCAATTCACAAATGTTCCTGTCAGTTTAACAGAAGATGGTGTTTGTGCAATAAACTCTCTTCCCCCAACTTCTCCCAGCAACTAAGGTCTAGAGTACGGTAGCATGCCCTGTTTGCTCACAAAAGAATTCCAAGCAACTTATATCAGAAATGTGATATATGTTTTTTGGAATACTGTTTTTCTTCATCAACATTTTATGATTGTTTAAGGCAAATAACTAATTCTCCTGTAAGCTAGTATTTAGTTATTTTCACTCCCTTGAGGAAGGGAACTGAAATGTTATTTCCTTGAAATAATGAATGGTGGTTGTTTTCCTGTATATTCCACCAGGTGTTCCAACAGTTCCATTATTACCACCACAAGTAAGTCAATCCCTTGCTTCTGTGCCACCAGTTAACCCAGCAACTACATTACCAGGTGAGTAGGTAAAATTTCTTAAAACACTTGTAAAACAAACAAACAAACAAACAAAAAAATCAGGGCAAAATGGAAGAGGCCCGTCTTTTCTACTGCTTCTTTTTTTTTTTTTTTTTTGCATAACTTCATTACATCTTACGCACTTCATGTTAATGATCTTTATACAACCTTTACAACTTTAAGGATTTTTCAGTTTTTCTACAGTATGAGCACAGCCTGCCTATCACACAGATAACTGAGCTGGCATCAGAGTTCATAATCAGTTACCTTTTATGTCCCCTGCACAATAGATGGGGTGTTTGGGATTTCTCTGGAAAGTACTAGCTGCATTTGCAACATTTCTTGTTGCTGATATATCATGTTTGTTGCCACATTTCATAACTTTTATGCTGTAAAATATACAAATAGCTTTACAGTTCCTGGTTCGTCCTTGGCAATCAGACATCACGACAGAAGAAAGATCTGAGAAGGCGTGCCTTTGACTATTTCTGCCTGCTTTCCACCCATAAAAACTCCATTTTAGGAGATTCCTTTTTAATACCCAGCTTGATCATTGTGTTAAGAGAGGGCTAAACACATAAAGCCCTGTGTTGTAGTTGCTTGTTTTTGTTTTTGAATTGCATTTAAAGTTATTAATGAGTCTATTTAGGCAAACCGTTAAAATGTCATACAGCTTTCAGCATTCTGCCATAACGTTTTAGTGTGAGTTCCACTATCACTAAACTATTCAGTAACTTGAAGTGTCTTAACAAAAGTGAGAGTCTGTCTGCAAAGTAGTGTGCATTATTTCCTGATAATAACACTTCAGCCACTAGTACTCCAGAATTATTTGCAGTAGGTAAGATGAGGTTTGTGTGGGATTTTGCCATGTAATTGGTGCACTGGTGCAGGACTCAATTTTGCGTTCAAAATACTAAAGGAATTGTGTTTTATGTTTTGTCTGCTAATGAGACAAGTAGATACAGATATGTCTAAAATTTTCAAATCATGCCTGTAGGTATGCTCACAGAAAGAATCCATAGTAGAGCTAAGTGTATGAGTACAAGGGCAAAAAAACTTTATTCTTGTTTGCTTAGGTAAAATGGCAAACCACTAAGAAGTTCAGTTTTTGTTAGTGTTCTCTCCCCCTACCCTACCAAAAAACCCCAAACTGACAAATACTTATTTTCCTTCCATCTTGTTCTCTGAATAGTATGACTGCCATTTTGAAAGCTGTTGGGTTATTGCTTACAATGTGCATGTCCATTCTAGTGAAATTGTAAATCCTAAATATGCAGCCTATTTAGTAATTGAGTGCATTTGTGTGCAGTGCAGTTCAGATTTTTTTCAGTTTTAAAAAGTATATTCAAAGTCAGCTAGTAGCTGAGCTGAAAGCTCTTTGAGTCAGATGAAGGTCTGTCTTTGTGGCTAATACATTCACAGGTAGGTAAAAGACTGCTTTTTTTTTTTTTAAATCAAAATCTTTGTACAGTGGCCTTGCTTAAGACTTTCCCTTTCTTCCTCTTATTACTGTAGTACCAAGAGTTTATTTCAGAATTAGTTTTCCCTGAACTAAATACAAAGTAGGAAGAAAGACACTGTCCCAGAAGTGCAGCTCTTCTAAGACAGGAAAGCTGGGGGCGGAAAGATGTTCTACAGCAAACACGTTGATGGAAGGAGTGTGTTACGCTCATCCTGTGTTTCTGTTGTATTTTCAGTCCTTCCTGGCTTTCAGAGTTACTTTGTCTTGCCTTTTTCATATATTTTTGTATCTAACTTATTTATAGACTTAGTAGAAAAGACTAATACTAGTATTTCTGATCTTTAGTATGTCTTTCTTTCTACCTATTTCATCCTAGTATGCTCTGCTCCCATTCCAATTAGGTAGGAATAGAGGGCTTCTGGTACAGCGCTACCATGAAATTACGACAATTGTTAAAAGCTGAGCTTTGAATTCAAAACTTTGTTCCTTGAAGAACAGTTTTACTTTCCTCAGAGAAAAATATAAAAGGTTGGGATTAGGTATTTTCTAATCCTGACTTCCAGCAATAGGTAACTGTTTTCACTGGGAGACTTGAAGGTTCAAATTCAGGTTAATTTCTATTTTTGCCTGTAAATATGCTAATGAAAATATAATGCGATATAAAATAACTTTCAATGGTCAATAAGATCTCAGAAACAGTTGAAAAAGCAAGTCTGACAAGTTTCCAACCATAACTTTTCTACTCTTCTTTTAGGTCTGATGCCATTGCCAGCAGGGCTTCCCAACCTGACTGATCTGTCCAAACTTAATTTACCTGCACCGCACATCGTTCCTGGGGCAGAATTACCAGAAATCATTCAGCCTGGTATGGGCTCCTACAAATTGAAACATTGCAATTCTCCTTGATGATCTCTGACACGCTATCTTAGAGCCAGCTCTGATCTTTGTTATCTGATGGACTCCTGAAGGAGATAAATTGAATGTTTGCCTCGGATGAAAGTTGGCAGTAGTGCCCAGATTGGGTAGACAAGGAATATTTTTCAGGATAATCTAATTTTAAGCCTATGCCCGTATTTAGCTGTTTCATCTTATGTTACCTGATTTATGATCCAAAAAGAGATGGCCAGTGCTAAAAATGAAAGTGTATAGTTTTATGAAGAGAAGAAAATATGAGATGTTTCCTTGTATGGTAGCCAAGGAGATCGAAGCACCCTGATTGAATTCCAGAAAGTACCAACTGATATTAGATTTATGGTATTGAACAAAACAGAACTGCTGAAGATGTATATGGAGCAAGCAAAAAAGAAAATTGGAAGCTTACGTGGAATAAAATTCTTGTTAACTTCTTGTCTCTGGCAGTTTCAATGAATGCCAGAAAAATCTAGTCATCAGGATTAACATGTTAAAGACATAGTCATCTGAGGAGAGGGAAAATCAGTATGTACAAGGAAGCGAACTTGAGTTTATTCAGATTCTTCAGTTCTGCAATCCAAAAAGTATCAGGCTTTGAAACTAGCCTGCTGAATTAGCAGATCTCTTATACTCACATTAAGTTTAAAAGGCTGTCTCCTCTCCAAGAATAAATGGAAGATTAGAGAAGGAAAAAAATTAAACACAGAATCTATCCGTACCTATTGGTGGTATGCAGTGGCTCACTGCTTTTTTTTTTTTTTTTCCTTTCATTTTATTTTTTTCTTCTTTTTTAGGTTTGCCTTCCCTTCCTTCCTTGCCACCTCTGAATCTGATGGGAATAACACCTCTATCAATACCACCCAAATGTGTTCCTCTGCTTCCTTTGGTCACAGAAGTATCTACAGTGCCTACAGATTTGCTTCCCTCCATCAGTCAAGCTGGAAGCTTTTCCATTGACCCTGGCACTGCTGTAAATGTAGAACAGACCTCTGCGCTCACCTTGGATAGTGCTACCCCAACTTCTAAGGCAACTATTGTTGACAGATCAAGTGAATCCTCTACAGTTAATGAGAAAACATCTGGGGTCACAGATACACAAGCTTCTGAATCATAACTCCAGATGGCTCTATTGGATTGGCTTGGTATTTATTTAGCCATGGGATACGTATTTGAAGAGCAAGCTATCATTAATTTCATACTAGTTTGTACTTAATCTTTAGGAGTCCTGTAAATAATATGGAGGTATAATAAAAATAAAGGGGATTTATAAAATGTGCTTGGTGGGTGGGGAGGAAGAGTACTTGTACTTAACCAAAAAAAAAGTTAAGGTGGTAAATAGAATTCCACTGCCAAACTTGGAGGTATATGTTTTTAATATAGGCTGACAGCTTTAGTCTGCTAGGCCTCTCCTTGCTTATAATTACCAACTTCTGCTTCTGACAGAAACGAAGCAGTTCTTGGGTGTGACATTTACATACCATAGTTCTTGTTCTTTGCAAGTATCTTGTTACTACAGTGGGGATGAAAACGTTCAGTCTGAGTTGTAAATTTTAACGTTGCAAAACTTCCACCTAAAGATATTAAAGTAAGTTGCTGAGTGACCTGTTAACTGACATCTCTTTATTCAGCTTGTATACAAATCTTTATTTTTAAGCTCATGAGAGATGCTCAAGCTATGTTTTGTGACTGCTGCTGCGTTGCTTCACACACCCACTGTATACTGGCATATGGAAGAGAATATAGGAAATGTTAAATGTAGCACACAATTTGGCACTTCATGACTACTGTAAGATAAATTAATGGATAAAGCATACATGCAGCAATAAATTCCTGGAATTTTACCCTTTGTGTGACAAAATAGCCCATTTCTTTAACCCATAAACTCTCATATAACTATTTTTAATTCAACTCTTCCCTGGCACAGTGCTGTGAAAGGGCTTCCCTCCAGGTGAATGGATCGAAGGCTGGAATGGCAGACTTTGTATTGGTAGGCAGGGTCAGCACTACTAGTGAGGCCCAGTGTAGCAATGGGTTGTGAAATATGTCTGCACGTGATGCGTGCTTGGCATTGTAAATTGATGTTTGGGAATAAAAACTGTAGCGTAAAGTTGCTTTTCCTGTTGCTGAAGCCCAGCTCTCCCCATTGCTGAAGTCCAGCTCTCCCCTTCATACAGCAGAGCTACCCTTGTATAAACTGGTGTGTGCGCAGTACACCAGGTGAATAGCCTTAGGGCCTGGTATCAGGTACAGCTTGCTTATTTTGCAGTTTATGGGGAAGACTTCCATAGCAGTCCAGTCCCTCTACGCTACTGGGATTTCATTTACATGTGTTTGCTGCAGGTACGTGCAAACTGTTACCAGATCATCAGCAAGCTGGAGGCACAGTCTGTCTCAACAGCTACATGATTTCTTTTGGTAATGCAGTGTGCCTGATTAGCGTTTGGAATAGTAGTTGCATCTCATTGCTGATTGTAACACCTCAAATACTTGGTACAAGTGGAAACCTTATCTAATACCTGTTGTCCTGTCTCATCTCTATTACGTAAGTATTTGTCGTTCCTCTGGCCCATTAACACACGTTTCCTCATCACCTGTTAGGTCTTTAAATGCCTATGTCAAAGACAGACCCAGAACATTTTTCTGTTTCACATTGTGTACAGTTTCTTTTCTCAACTGCTTGGAGCGTGCAGTCCCTCTGCCCATGGTGAGTAAGGAGTGGGCTGTTCTCAGAATGCATTTTTGAGACACTGCTGTAGTGCCAGTGTCACACACTTCAGAATTAAACCTGGGAATGAGAATAAGGATGTTTCCTCTTTTCTTTGCTGTGTACAAAGACAGACTGTTAGTATTGCGCTCCATAAATTCTCACATGTAACTTCTTTACACCTGTCCCTGACTAGAGCCTTCATCCTCATTTTGTTCCTTCTCTAACCCAAGAGCGGGAGCAGTAGAAGTCCTGTCACACACCAATTTAGAGTAATTCTTACCGGGATGCTGAGTGCAGCAGGGTGCCTTGAAAAAGAGTCCTTGGGTAGCTCTTTTGTTGTTACAGGAAGGCAAGATGTCCCTTGATGTAATGTCTGAAGCCAACGGGTAGCTGTCTATGCTTTCCAGTAAAAAGGCTGCAGGCTGTTGCAGCTGTTGTGCAATTGTTTCTAGTAGCAGAAGAAAAACCAGTTAAAAAGTCCTGCAAGATAGTAGTCCAGATCATGACACAGCTTTGCATATCCATCTAGCCTTTGGGGGGGGGGGGGGGGGGGGGAAGGAGGAATACAACCATTTAAATGTAGCCATCAGTGGACTTGCAAAGATACAGCCCTTCAAGCTTGGAGCCTGGTCGCCTGTGTGGAACTTGCGCAGTAATCGCCTAGCTAAAGCATTGTAAGAATTGAAGGTCAAAAAAAAAAAACCCACCACACAACAAAAAACAAAACCAAACTTTCCTACCCACCAAAAGACGCAAGGTCCTTCATGCTCATGTGTGGCTTCTCTTGCATGCCCTTTGTTTCTCTTTTTCTCTTGCTCACCTAATTGCTCTACTATCTTTAATGAACTCAGACTCATGCCGTAAGAGTACCTTAATGCCCCCCGCCCCCGGCAAGCAAGGAGGGCTGGGGACGTCAGATAGATACACCAAGGGGCTGAGTGCCAGGCTAACCTTGTTTCCATGAATGCATGGGTTCTGCTTTTAATGTGCACTTATGACTAGGCATGTTTACTTTATGTTGAACATTAGCACATGGGGGTTCTGTAATGAGTAAGTGTTGCTGGGTGACAGTAAGATAGGCACCCTCACCCCAGCCCTGCATGCAAGTAAGACTGATTAATGTCTATATGAAAAGCTAGTGCTTAAGGCTTACAGCATGCGCTAAACTGAGCAGGTTGGATTCCTGTTCAGCAAGAGGCAGCTCAGGGTCTGCCTCCATTAGCAGGAAGGGGGCTGAGCGGAGCCCACCAGTTTCCCCAGGGGTGCTGGCTGGACCACGGCCTGTTTCTGTGAGTGCGGTGGGGGTCTCTGCAGCGCTGCTCGAGGCCATGGCGCCTGCTGCAGCATGAGGCTCGAGAAACAGCTGCGCGGGCTGCACTGTCGGGGCACGAGTGCCGGCACCGCAGCCCTGCGGCAGGCGCCCTAGCTTTCGCAGACGGTGCCACAAGATGGCGCGCGGGAACTGCTTTTTGCTGCAGCGGCAAGGTTGAGCCCAGTGACAAGTGTTTGCCAGCCGCCCCCCCCCCAACCCTCCTCAAATGGCAGCCAGCTCGATGCTGTAGTAGTTTAAGGTGTCACAGATATCTGTAAGACTAAATGATTTGCAGGCAGGAATAGGCTGAGGCTTAAGCTATTTCTAAATTCCAGACATTTGCTGACTTAAGCTAAGCTATCTGTAGGCAGGGTCAAAGTTTGTCTTGAAGACAGCAAATCCTGACAGGCAGCGACTTGTATGAGGCTTATATAACTCAGACTGAGAGGCCTGGCTACTCTTTCTAACCGCTCCCTGATGTAAGCGATGTTTATGCAATTAAGTAAGTTGATGGGGGCAGGATAAGGATCAGTAATGTTTGCGTGTGATATGTTTTGTCTTCCCCAGTTATGCACTAGGCTATGTCTGTACTAGTCAAATAAATGTGTTCAGCATCACTCCCTACCACGGAGGTCCCACTGGCATCAAACATCCATGCTCGTACTATGAAGTTATTTATTAAAAAAAAAAAAAAGTTGGCTGCAGCCAAACTGTCCCTGGGCTGGTTTGCCCCTGCCCTGCGCGTGCTGGTTGAGTGAGGCCAGAGCCATGCCAGGGACTGGTCTAGTTAATAGTTTAGAAGCAAAGTGCCCGTGCACTGTTTAGCCATGTTTCGAATTGCAAATTAATTGCTTAGCCGCCCCCCCCCCCACTATAGCAAGTTGGGGATGGGGAGGAGGGTGTGAATTTAATTACTGACCTGCTTGTTCAGGTCCAGCTTCCTCACTGAAGTCTCTATTCCCCACACCTTCCCGCTGTACGGTCGCAACCACCAACTCAACAGGGGACTCTGTAGAGAGAGCAAGAGAGGATAACAGCAGGCAAGGCGAACAGAACTGGTGTCCACTTGTCACCTGCTAACCAGGGAGGGAAATAGCCCCCAGGATGTGGGAAACCAGGTTTAGCCACAAGATTGACGCCTCCCCCACAAGGCTTTCTAACTCAGCATATTCTTTGGCTCATCATTTGGAATTAGGCACCTAGAATCTGCCTAATTTTACATTTTTCAAATGCTGTAGTGGACCTAGGCAAAAAAAAAAAAAAAAAGCAGCATGCAAAAGTGGTGGTTTCTTCATGTGTGAATATTTATAGTTAGTAACTCATGCTTTTTAATCCTGCTCTATATGTTCTTCAGGGCAGTGGCAATGACTTAATACAGATTTCTACAGCCCAGCATATTAGGGCCTTGCACTACACTGGGCTTTTGGTAGTAGCCTTAGCCCAGAAAGCAAAATCTTTTTCAAAAACTGATTTGCCTACCACAAAGTTTGTGGTAAAAATTTTTTTTTTTTTTGGCTGTGGGGTTAGTGGAAGTCTAACACCTAACATCATAGCACAAATTAAAAAGAAAAAAAGAAATAAATATTTAAGGTGAAAGAACTAATGTCAAAAAAAAAAAATCCCCAAAGTCAAACAAACAGAAAACTTCATTTAGCTCAACTGATTCTCCAACAGTGGTGGTTCTCCCCCCATCCCCATACCTTACAGAACTGTAAAAGTTAAAGCATCGTAATTTGATGTCTTACTATATAAATAAGAGATCAGCAGGGAGCTAGTAAACTTAGCAAGGAACAAATGCATCCCTTTGCCAGAATCCTCCATTCATGTTTATCCTTTGGCCTTGTGAATAAGTTACATTCCAGAGTGCAGCCAGCAAATCCGAATTGCCCTTTGGGGGATGATGGCTGTTTCTCAGGAACAGCCTTTCAGCTTTTGCTCATTATTTCATTTGCAAGTTAGTACCAGAGTTCTGGTTTTGTGATATGCTGTACTTGGCATGAGAAACTGCATCAAGGCTCAGACCTAGATTTCAAAGGCCGCAGAACAGACCAGCTCAGGACTGGCATGTCAAGTTCTGCTCGGGCTGAGAAGGTTAAGTGAGGTTCTTGGTTTTGTTACCACATTCAGTTTCA